ATTAGTGCCAAGTTCTAGGGCTTTCTTTTCTCTCACAGCTAAGGTACATGTATATGGCACATTTCATAAATACAATTTATAAACATTTTTGAACAATTCTCAAATGTTTAAAATTCTCTGAGGTCTGCACAGCATGCCATTGAGCATTAGTAGGATTCTGGAGTTGTGAGGTCTGTCCAATATTTCACACTCAATTCTGATCTACCTAATTCATTTGGATACTGTGACAGACCTCCCGTATCTTGATCAGTGAAGTTGCCATCACCTACTACAAGATGGCCCCCTATCAGAATGACCCTTGCTGTAATTACGAGCCCTGTTTTTTTGAGAGAACTGACAGTGGTGCCTCAGTTTTATCCCACTGATGAATCATCTGCAATAACATTTGATGAAATGAAATGATCTAATTCTTAGGTTGCTTTCTCTCAAAATGTTACTCCTGAAGCTATGTGTCGTGGAGGCCAGTGTAAAATGTGGGATACAAATTTGGGTAGCTACCTTATCATAAGTGTTGGATGGGTCTGTATTGATCAGAGTCTTACATGTAAATCTCAGGTCCCCATGAAAAAGACAGATTGGCTTTTTACCTGACATGGCTTGTAGTAAGAGAAATATGGTACATCACTCGTACAAACTGCTTGCATTTTTAAACATTAAAGTGCATGTGCGATATTTCTGACTGCCAGCATGTCTTATTCAACATTACTGCAACAGGACACAGTCTCACCTTTCTGATTGTATACTTATTTAATGACCTCATGTAAATTGTTTACCATATGGTGTTTATATACATATATTTACAGTAACTTATGTCTGCCTTACTTCCTACATGTCAAGACTTACAACATCCCACCTGTCTCTACAAATAATGAGCCTGAGACATTGATTATATAAAAAAAACAATCTTTTCTTTGATATTATCATCATTCAAAACAAAGATTCACTGAATATCAAGACAGCTCCAGCACAAATATCCCCTGCACTCAGTACAAGATAAGTTAAACAAAAAAGATTACAATTGCAACACAAAGTGGAACAACATTTGCCCACTTAATGCCAAAGTGACATACATCCTAATATCGATTTGCATGAAAATAGAAAAAAAAACATGAGGTCTACAGGGCCTGTACTGCTTGCTTGAATGGAAGAGACAATTTCTACAAAATTGAAAAATTCTTCACGCCAACATGCTACTGGTCGACCATGGGCCTTAAGTTAGTGATAAGCAGTTGTTTGCCTATTTCCTAAACATCAAACCTCAAGGGACATTGAATGGAAGTCCTTACCTACAGCATGTTACTTAAAATATTTAAAAGTAACACACTGAAAACTTTATAAGAGGTTTACATCATCCTGTTTTTGTTGAAGTAAAGTGATTTAGAATAAACTGTCATTACAGATTCACCTACTTGAAAACAGTTAAATATTAAAACTACCAAAGACAAAAATAGCTGGCATCAAAACCTTGTTTTCCTGCCATTTTTTAAGCAGGTTATAACACAAAAGAGGTTTGCCAATTCTATGACAGAAAGAAACTCAGAAATAGAATTAAGATAAACCTGTACACACATTACCGCTAACAGCTGAAGCCAATCCATCTGGGATGTAATTAGGACAGGGTTTATTACCAAATCTTTGCCTGCGAACTATCAGAATTGGTTATATATTTCTGGAAATCTATGCAAAACAAGTCAAGTGCTGAAAGCTTTAGATTTATCTGTGTGACTATCATAATATCATGATAAAGTCTTTTGATATAGGAGAAGGTCATGCAAATGTATGGAAAAACATATTTAATCCTTTACACCTGGTAGAGTAATGCATGTAACTACTGTCAAACATGCTTCATTAGAGCTCTATCTATCAGAGAGGTTTTCTATGATTTTACTTAAATATTTAAAACGTAACTGGATGTTTTTGTAGTTTGTAACTAATAATATGCAGCATGACTGTCAGCGTTCAAAGTGATTTTTTATCTAAGGACACAAATGTGACCTTTGCATCATATTTGACCTAAGGACACAAATGTGACCTCTGTATTATATTTGATCCAAGGACACAAATGTGACCTCTGTATTATATTTGATCTAAAGACACAAATATGACCTCTGTATTGTATTTGATCTAAGGACACAAATGTGACCTCTACATTATATTAGATCTGAGGACACCAATGTGACCTCTAATTTATATTTTATCTAAGGACACAAAAGTGACCTCTATATTTTATTACATCTGAGGACACCAATGTGACCTCAGCTTTATATTTTATCTAAGGACACAAAAGTGACCTCTAAAGTGACCTCTGCATAACATAACAATTGCTCCAAGGACACTATCTACAGCCAAGATTAATAATCTAGCTATCAAAGATAACCAGTTACTGTAGCTGCCTCTCCCCCCACCCCCACCTCCTCCTAGACCTCTAACGTATACAGAATGTCTATTGACTTAGATGAATACTGTTTATTGTTATATAGCTGTATAATGACCTAGGGACGATTACATGGTTATTACATGTCTATAAGACATTTCTTATGGTGTGATTGTATCAGACTTGTCTGAGGTTCTTAAGTCTGACTACACACACAATCACTAGTCACACATCTTCAGCACTATATCATCATCTAACTACACAGCCAATGACTATCCTACTGTCGCAGTGCAGTTCATCCTAGCCAGACATTTATCAACTTTGATTTTATTTTAAGGCCTGGTTTGAATTGTTTAAGTCATAAACTACAAGAATTCATTCCAACCTATTGATTGCTCCAGATAGGAATTTAAATCATTAAACAATGCTAAATCAATTAACAACAAAAAAATACCAAGGGGTTTAATCAGAATTTTTGTATGACATTGCTATTGTGATTTCCATAAACCTACATTTACAGATATATTAGCTTGAATATATAAACTTAAAATAACATTTCATGCTAACCTAATTTAAATCAAACCATAACAGATCAAGGCCCAGTTTGCTGAAATATCTGAGCGTTGAATTCTCTGACTAAATCAAAGTCGATTAAAGGGAATTTTTGTGTCAAAGATGAAAATGTATCTGAACAAAAGCTAACAAAACTTAACTTTGGATTCTAAAAGATCCTCGATAAATACAAGCAAGATATAACACTGATTTATTTTTTTTTATAAATGCTTTAAAAAACCAAACAAGGGGGAAAAATTAAAGGTTTTATGACTCTTAAGAATGAATAATCAGATGTACTACATAGTTATATGTAATGCTAGAAGGTTAAGTTAGCCCAGGTCAAACGTGACCTGTAAGGAATGAACTTGTGGTACTTTTTTATGTATATTTGATTAAAGTGGTTGAAAAATGAGGTCTGACCTAGTACCTAACACATGGACCCCACACCGACAAAGTTTTGATTAACTTATTAATAGTATCTCATCTAACCATGTTCTGTATTACATTCCCATTAAATCTTTCTTCTCAATTTCCATAACCTTAAATAATCACGTTTTACATTGTATTTAAAATTAATTACAATTTGATCCAATTTTGCAGGAGATTTTTTCCTCATTGATACAACATTTTGATTACAGTTTTGAGATTCTATGGCATTTAAAGTGCACTAAACTGTCATTAAATAAAATGAATATCTGTAGCCAGGGAGGATTCAATCACCTGAAGATTGACTTCATTCCAGAAGTATATTGATGTGAAATTATGTCAATATGTTTGACCTAAGGAACCAAGTCTGACACTAAATAACACTTACTGACCTCACTATATACTATACTCTAACGAATATTAGACAAGTGGTATCCTAACAACAGGTAACAATGACTAGTACTATTCCCCTGATGTATAAATCTCTTTGAAACAGTATCATACACTAAGTCAAATTTGAATAGGTCTCTTATTGCCAAGAAACTTCTAAACGGATTTCTCAAGCATTTTCCATATAAGGTATTAGATCCCTTAGGTTTTCCTCACACATACACAAGGGCCAACCCTGGTACATTATATCAAGTTCTTGGGAAGGAATTTCTGTGCTATGATGCATCAACGATGCCCATTGAGGCAAAAGGCAAGAGGGAAGGGAAAGGTAGAGGTCAGTCTTCATGGTATTCCAAGAAGAAGGACAGAGCCAGAGGTCTACATTAATGGCAGGTTGAGGGCAAGGACAGAGCCAGAGGTTTACATTTATGGCAGGTTGAGGGCAAGGACAGAGCCAGAGGTTTACATTTATGGTAGATTGAGGGCAAGGACAGAGCCAGAGGTCTACATTTATGGCAAGTTGAGGGCAAGGACAGAGCCAGAGGTTTACAATTATGGCAGGTTGAGGGCAAGGACAGAGCCAGAGGTCTATATTTATGGCAGGTTGAGGGCAAGGACACCAATGCCAACATTCACATAAAGAGCCAAAAAGATCCCCATGCTAACTGTAGTCTTAATCCTATTTCTGTAATAACAGGTCTTTCGATACATATCCTTTTAATAATATAATAACATATAATACTGGTTACCCTGAGTTTATACTTTTCTGAAAGATATAACATAAATCAGAATTTTCTTTCCGCATGAGTGGAGAAGTTAGTGGGTTTCATGGCACATGCATTATTAACCAAGGGCATGAACACATTATCTGCTTCTGTTACAAAAATAGTTTTAAATGTTCAATGTTTGCAAAATTTAGCAGTTGTAATATATTTATGATGATTATAATTGACTTGTCTGAAATAAAAATTTACACTTTTGATTAAACACTTTCTATCCATAAAAATGTCTTGATTCAAGTATGTCTTTGTTTCCAGAGGAAGATTTTGAAATTTCAGCTTGCTTAGATGAGTCCACTGATGCAGGGGCCACTTAACTCACGGCTATGATTTCAATTTGACCACTGAACATTCAAATTCATTCCAAATTTTATCAAAACTGATTCAGCAGTTTTTGAGAAGTAGAAACCATTAATAATTTACAATGGTGAAATAGAAGATGGATACCAATGCTACAAAAGAGAAAAAGTACCTACCTCATCAGATGGGTCTTCTTCTGATGTGATTTTCTTCTTCTTGCACCACCAGCCATTATCCTGACAGTATGCCACAATGACAAATAAGGGCATGTATCCCAGTGTGACCCATGCCTCCCAAGGATCTATGACCCCAGGTGTGATATACTGAACTACCAGTAACATCCATATATAGGCCCAAAGTGACCAGATTGATGTTAATACGAACACACCAAACTCACGGATATTTTTCACACTAGGAGAGGGGACACTTACAATACATATGCTAGTAATGATGAGTAGATTAAAAGCAGCACTTCCTATAATAGTAAACGTTCCTAAAGAATCTTCATTATTTTCCGATCCTAAATCCTTTGCTGTTTCAATAACAGCTAATAATATTTCTGGTGCACTACTTCCAAGTGCCATAAGTGTCAAGTTGGCAACGGTTTCATTCCATATCAGCACCTCTCTTTCCACCTTCACTTGTTTTTCTTCATCCCATGATACTACTTTTTTCTTTTTACTGGTGATAACTTCTATACTAGTCATAAAGATGTCAGATGCTATAGCCACCCCTAGAAAGATATATGCGATTGCTAGGATGTAAAGAAATCCCCGCAGTCCCTCTGACCACAGATTTTCTGCTGGAAGGAGGATGTAACTTGAACAAGGTTTCGAGCCATTTTCCACAAACTCCACCACATATCCATTGCTGTAGTGACTGAAGTGGTTGTAGGTGGCCATGGTCGTTTAGTCCTTTCTTCAATACAGGCTTAATCTGCAATGTCAGAAATAAAAGATATCAAAATTCACCCTATACATGGATGTTGTTAAAAAGATTAAAATTAGTCACAAGTGTAACATTTCTATATCATAATCTTTGAACTAGAAAATGTTTGTCATTTATTGATAAATTAACAGATGTTTTCAAATATGACCTTAGACTTGTGGTCATTTCTACCAAATATTGACAGCCTGTGAACATTTCTACCAAATACTGACAGACTGTGAATATTCCTTCAGAAATTGACAGCCTGTGAATATTCCATCAAACATTGACAGCCTTTAAACATGTCCTTCAGATATTGACAGCCTGTGAATATTCCATCAAAAATTGACAGCCTGTGAACATTTCCATCAAATATTGACAGCCTGTGAACATTTCCATCAAATATTGACAGCCTATGATCATTTCCATCAAATATTGACAGTCTATATAAACATGTCCATCAAATATTGACAGCCTGTAAATATTCCATCAAATATTGACAGCCTGTAAATATTCCATCAAATATTGACAGCCTGTGAACATTTCCATCAAATATTGACAGCCTGTGAACATTTCCATCAAATATTGACAGCCTATGATCATTTCCATCAAATATTGACAGCCTATGATCATTTCCATCAAATATTGACAGCCTGTGAATATTCCATCAAATATTGACAGCCTGTGAATATTCCATCAAATATTGACAGCCTGTGAATATTTCCAGACAGCCTGTGAATATTCCATCAAATATTGACAGCCTGTGAATATTGACAGTCTATATAAACATGTCCTTCAAATATTGACAGCCTGTGAATATTTCCATCAAATATTGACAGCCTGTGAATATTTCCATCAAATATTGACAGCCTGTGAACATTTCCATCAAATATTGACAGCCTGTAAATATTCCATCAAATATTGACAGCCTGTGAATATTCCATCAAATATTGACAGCCTGTGAATATTTCCAGACAGCCTGTGAATATTTCCATAAAAAAACTAAAATTCTGTGAACATTTTACATTGATTCATTAAATACATATTTCATTAACCTCTGAAAACCTTTGAACAATACCCATCAAGTATCAATAGCCTTTTATAACTTCCTTCACATCCAAACTCCAGTCTAAAGATAAAGTTCAGGATTTAGATTTTTTTTACCAGATCACACACACATCATAGATCTAGTGTAGATGTGAACACATTTATTTGTTGACTGATGTAGCAGTATTTCTCTGATACCTCAAAAACACCAATTTATCAAGCCCATTGAGCAGTCACATCCCGTAAGTGTTCCAGGCTAATATGAAAGTGTTGATAACATTTATCCATGTTCTCCATCCTCTACAAAACACAGTCTCTTTCAAAGCATCACCATTATGTATAATGTGGTAGACAAAAGTGATTTATATGGGCCAACATTGAACTTTTTTCTTGTCCTCAAGGCCCAGAATGCCCTTGACACCATGAAGTGACCCAGCATAAAGTCCTGATCTAGAGACATAGCTATAGAAGTCACCCCTACAGATCAAATGTCTTATGGTAACTAAGGGCAAAAGTCCTCTATTTCACCCTAACAATGGACCAACAACCACCAACTAGAAGAACAACAATCAAAATATGAAAACTATAAATCAATAATTCTACTTTTATTTGAAGACTCAATTCAAGGTACTGCAATAAAGAAGTGTAAAACATCGTACCAAGATGTTTATCCAGTTGTGTTTGTTTATGCTAGAGCATGACAATGGAGTTACCTACGCTTTTGAGAACATTGAAATCGATGTGTATTTAGTCTTTGTAAATTATTTAGTAGAAAACTAGGGCATTACAGGCAAACTAAACTGAATACGGAGTAAAGCAAATATGACCACTAAGCATACAGACGTCACAATCAATATAGACGAAGGGTTTGTTTGGTCAAAACCACACTTACAACTTTTTTTTATAGAAATATCTATTGAGTTTTGTGGAAGAGCCATTATTGTTCGATGGTGACGCTCTAGTGTTGTACATCACCATAGGCAATAGGACCCAATACAAGTTTATCATACCAATTCAAAATGAAATATAATCAATTCAGAACAGATGAGGTCAGTCTTATTTAACTTTTTATTTCAAATTGGATTGTCATAGATATAAGTCACAAATTCCAAATCAATTTATTGAGTTAACTGATATCAGACGTTATCCTGATGATGGGAAAATATGTCCAAAAAGTTCATTACTATTAAAGTATAGCATAAAGATGATATTGTACCATGTCACTGTCAGCTGGAGATCTATTTCAGCAGAGGTCAAGCAATAGGTCAAACAAGTCTGAGATGTCTGGCTGATGGAACTTAGCTAATCCTTTAAGTTTCTAAGTGCTTTTAGGTATAGCATTTCATGTTTAGTATCTGGTAAAGCAATTAAAACATTATTTTTAACAAATCTACAGAAATAGTAACAATGACCTTGAAACACAAACTCATGTGAGGTTATCCGGGGATATCATTTTACTTTTAACCACTTAAGTCACTGATGTGATGTTGATGTTTTTCTGTAAATAGTAACAACATTTTCTTTGACCTTTGAACCCTGAAACTTGATTTGTCTTAGGTATTTTCATAGCTGATCTTTGTATAAAGTTTAATTCAAATCTCTGAATATACAAACTTACTCAGGTGAAGACATCAACCCTGTATCTGATGGGACAGATGTGAGTGTCACACTTAAGCTTTACAACATAGCCTAACCCCCAACCTCTCTCATAAAATGGAGAGGGCATGAACAGTTAAACTATTGAATTATCAGTATCTTGAAATGATGGGAGAATTATCAATTATTTTACAGAAAAGATCTAGGTTAAATAATGGAAACTGTAAATCAGGTATATAAATATTATTCCAGATTGTATGAAATAATGCATTCTGCAAAAATGCAATGTGTCCACAGATTAGATAAGTCAGTCATATGGTTTTAAAACCTTAAATAAAGATGTGTTTCCATATTTTAGTAAAGTGCTTAGAATAGCATGCCAAATTCATGTTATCAAAATCAAGTAAAGCTGTATTTCATAATTCACAGACAGTGATTTCACTTTTGGATACAGTAGGCATGTACAATATATAGTTATCTGACTTATTTCTTTATGCTATCTTTTACTATTATTTATAATACAGCCAATTTCAGCCATATGCCACCATACTTGACAGCTAAAACAAAAATAGGATCAATTATGACAGCAGTCAGTAATGATACGAGCTCAATATAGTTATCAAGAAATCAATCTGGGACTTAAATAACTTCAAACTTGAGATTATGGGCATTGCTATGATTCATTTGAACTAACTTTCATAAGTGATTTCTTTGCTTAAGAAATCAATAGGTATAAAAGTTACAAAAAATCCCATGAGCCTGGATTACTTATCATCTGTTATTAGAATACAGCTACATAGATCACTTCAAAAATATTATCCATGACTAAAAAACAAGCAATAACTTCTTAATGGTTAATAAAATTGTACAAGTGCGTCATTCTTTGAATGATTAAACCAGTTAAAGAGATGAGCCAAAATATTAGGTATCAAATCATTGTTTTATGAAATAAAATATGTACATCTCTGAACAATACCTTGTGCAAAGGTCACGGCCCATAAAGTTTAAATTGTTAGCCCCTTTGGCTAAACAAGAGACAGAGGTGGTGGATAGGAACAGATCAGTGTATTATTATAGGGTTGGTTAACCAGGGCACCCTAGTTACAGCCCACACCAATACACAAAGGATCACTGCACATTTAAATGTCTGTGTTTAAAGAGCTGGGTATGTAAGACTGCTAAAGATATCTTTACAGTAGAAGAATCGACTAAGTACATGCTTGTTAATGTTTAAAGTGTTTAAAAGTTAGCCAAAGGTTAAATAGGTGATCATTTGTAGGCTTTAAGTGGAGGTTAAATGTTTAGATATAATTGTCTGCCCCATACAGAGGCCTTGGTCCATAGCAATACACAATCTGGGGTCATTATAAATAACGGATCAAACAATCCAGTCGATAGTCACAGATGTTACTATGTGTGTGAATGATAATCACTACATATATCTATAAATACAATTCCTCATGACTTCTCATCAGAATGTTGTGTTACCTTGGCTGCACAACAATCTCTTTAATTAGTTTCCAAATAAATAGAACGGATTGCATAATCAATCCACTATCAAATTAATAACATTACAATACCTTTGATATTTCTCCTGGAGATTTTTTCTTTATCGGTATAATAGAAACAAGATTTCCCATGTTAGGATATTTGTATAACATCTTCTAGTCCTATCACCTATTGTAGCTTAGAGACCATTGGAGTAGACCTCTTATCGTGAAGTAGTGTGTGCTATTTCTCCTTACACCTCTTTAATATATTTCACCAATTCAGACAAGTACCCCTAATCAAATAAAACAACAATACAAAAACTTCAAGCATTGAAGAGTATATTCAGTTAAAAAAAAAAAAAAAAAACTGGGGGGAGGCAGATGGGAAGCTTTTTAAATATTTTTCTAAGAGGGACAGAAAAAAAACCTGTTAACTTCATTCAATCTTAAGAAGAGATGGTTTTGGGATCAGCTTTAAAAGGGTAACTTGGTAAATTGATATACTGACAGGTTAAACTTAACGGTACAAGTTAATTTGCAAGTATTTGGTAAAGAAATACTTTTTGGTATATGTAAAGCTACTGATGTGTTAGACTTGTATTTGGCAAAGCAATTGATAAGTGGGTTAGAAAACATACAAGAGGTCATAAGCTAATAAATAAATAAAAAAAAAAAAAAAAAATTGGGTTTCCTACTAAGGGGAAGCAACTCTTTATAAACTATTAAATAATTAGGTAATTAAAAAATCTGCTGGGTATATCTGACCAAACCAATAAAAAATCTTTGATTCAATATCAATATATTGAGGATATATAGTAGATACTAATTGTCCTCTCTTCATT